AAAAAAAAAAATTAAATCGGCCTTTATTAATGGTGATTCTATTTTAAACAAGGATTAATGATCTTTCCAAATCAACAACTACATACTGGAGCCTTTGCTAATTCAAATCCTTGATTATTTTCAACTGGTAATATACTTGCTCGAGCATGTGACTTATAACAACCATAGATTGCTTAGTTTGTTTTATTTTTGTTTTTACAGTGCCATTAACAAGTTAACAGAATTTAAATTTCTTCAGTTCTGGACTCTTATTGTTGTTGTTAAAGAACTTGGCATGTTTCACTCCCCCCACAAAAAAAAAAGCTTTGTAGCTTTAATAAAGAAAAGTACATACCACACCTGAGTGAGTTTTAACGGTTGATACTTTATCAATGATCATATCTGCACAATGGACCCCACCAGAGTAAAATATTGCTCTTTCAAGTATTGTGTAGAGACGAAAACTGATTTGCTGTAACCTCTTTAATGAATTCCTGCATTTACTTTATAAGCTAGTACCTGTTCAGGTAAGCTGATTTTGGAAATGATTTGCTGTGCAATTTTTTTTTTTTTTGTTTTTTGCTCTTTGTTTTGGTTACTTGATTTCTTTTCTGTTTGCCTTTCTCCACATTGCAGCTGCTGCTTTCTTCTGCCTGCTGACAGAATTCAGCCAAATAGAATCTCAGTAAATCACTACCTCTGTCACTCTCTCTCTAGAAATTACCTCTCTCGCTCCCTCTCCCCTACAGATTCTCATTTTGCTATCAAACTTCCAAACTTGATGACGTCCCACATTTTTATGTAACTTTTAAGTAACCCTCATTCGGACACTCGTTACTGTCATAGTACAAAGATTTACTTCTGTCAAAGAAATAGCCCAAATAATTTACTTTGAGCCATTGCATTCTCCTACCTTTTTCAGGTGTTTGTTTTATTTGGTAATCATTTAGGAGAAGAAAAAAAGAGAAAGAAAACAAGCAAGCAGTAATAGGTACTGGTCAAAATTCTTGCAAAATTATCAAATGCATTGTATATCGGAAGTAGGACTAAATCTGTATAATTCATAGAATAAGCCATTACTTCATCTTTGAACTTTAGATGATTCTTAAAAAAATAGTTTCATACAAATGGTTTAGTAATCAACAAAGTTAAAAATGTCTATAAACACAAGAGGGTGTTGAAAAGTTCTCATACTGACCAAGAAAATATTTTGAAAAGTATTTGTTTGATCATTTGGGTAGATTTTGGCAGGTGGACCAGGTCGAGAACTTTTTTACACCTGCTCACAGATATCACTTATTGCTGAGTATGTAGAACTTGTCTAAATCCAAATGGGTGGATACATACATGGATAAGAGGTGGATTTATCGTTTAAATGTTAAACTTAATAAAAAAAAAACAAACTGATTTTAAGATTGGAAAGTCAGTCATCCTTCTTTTGGTAAGTTGTTTGGATTACTGAATACATTCCTTATGTTACTTTCATTGTTACCATGGCATTCTACAACCTTCTACTGGTGTATAAACCGTAAGGAAAGAGAGAGGTATTTTTTCTACAGAAAAGTGAGTGAGCAGAAAAGACTGGTAGCTAATATTATAGTTTGAATCATTCCCAGCAAAACAAGCCACAAGCTGAGAATGAGATTTAGTTGTGATGGAGCTAAGCTCTGCTATGTTAACCACTATTCCTTTTGTTCATATGTTTAATAAAGGTAATTCAAAAACATGATTCTTAAAAATTCTCTTTGACAACAGGAACATTGTCTGCTGCAACATTTGAGTGAAAAATCCTTTCTTAATTGAAATGAATTTCAAACAAAGATTTCATTCATATTTGTACATCACCCTTGGTTAAATGCTCAATACAAACTAATAGAAAGTCAGAAAAATGAATTTATCTTTTTATTAACATTAGTCCAAGATTTTAAGCAACTTTGTCAATAATTCTTCAAATCATGATACAGATGATCTACGACTTCTCTAATGGTTGTCATCATGTTTTGAATTTGCAATTCAGAATATGCTAACTTTTACAAAATCAAAGTGCTTATAAGGAACGTTTCAGAGGTAGAAAGTCACATTTTAGTCATTTTCTTGTTTTGTCAATTTTAAATTATTTCTAAGCTTTATCAATAAATATGAAATGTTCATTGCTTTAGATTAGCATTAAACTTGCAGAATTTTCTTTTTCTAATATTGCAAATGACTAAGTGCTTTCCCTGCCCCCTTGCTTTTCACCTCTTTTTTTATCTTTTAACAAGAAACTCAAAACAATTTAACCTTTTCACTTGATTCAACTAACTTGGCATGCACTTTTCGTAACTTTAACTTTGATCAAATGACTTTCTCATTCTTTGCAAACTAAATTCTTTTCTTCAAAGCAAGGAACTTTGGCATGTTTTTTTTTGTTTTTTTTTTTAATAATCTTCTTTGCACTCCTTCCTGACTAAGTTTTATAAGTAGATTTCAAAAAAAGTTTTTCTTTAAAAAAAAAAAAAAAAAAAATCATAAAATCTTAAAAAAAATAATTCTTTATGCTGAACTAAGAATAAACTTAGTTCAGCATAAAAGTTAGTACCAAAATCTAGTTCAGTACCAAAATTTCAGTGCTGTTCATTTTGATTTTCCTTAAAATTGGAAATTGAGCACTCTTTTGTGTATTTCCATTTTTTTCTATAAGTTACAAATTCTGTTTCTATTTTACATGAGAAAGATGTGCAGTAATTTAAAAAGTTTTATTAATTCTGTAAAATTTATTACATTTAGTTTTTGTTTTTTATTCACAAATGAATGTGATATCAAGTCGATGACATGCCATGGATGTCAATTGAAAAGGATCCAAACTTTTACAGCTTAGAGCCTCTTAACAAATAATAATCTAATAATGCTTCCATCAAAATTTGCTTTTTCTATCCTGATACTGCTGCTTAGAAAATTTCCAAGCATTCTTTCACACCCAAATCATTTTTTTCCAAAATTGAATATCTCTAGATTAGCTTCAGCTTCTCCGTGGTTTTTAACTTAAAGAAATGCAGTTGCTCTCTTTTTGTATTGGTGCCATATGCACATTGCAATTCTTGAAATGCAAGTTTCTCTTCATCCAGAAAATACTTTGATGCAATTTTACAATAACAGGTGAATGAACTATTCTTTTCCATACAACCAATCACAAACTCCATCAACACTAAATTTAGCTGGTATTGCTTGTTAACTAGATTAATTGACTATTCTTGTGGTACTTGTTTTCAGAAGAAAAAAAAAAATTTTTTTCTTTGTTTAATTAAAGAATATAATTTTTTTTTTTATATAATTCTCTCAAGAATTAGGTTAAGAATTAGTATGTCACATGATTCTATTCTAACAAATCCCAGTGCTTAACATTTTATCTTCTAAAAATGCCACTTGATATTATCCACTTCAGAAACACAAAGTAACTAAAAATAATTTTATTTAATGTGACAAGCAGTAAATAAATTTTGTTTATTTAAAATGTTGATACTCAATGATTTTTTTCCCTCCTGTCTTTGTTGCTATTTCCACATTATCTTAGGCAAGTGGAATTTTTGCATTGACATTTGATAATAAGTAATAAATTGTACATAATCATTGCTAAATATGAGGATAGTCATTCAATACTAAATATGAAAGAGGACTGAAAAGTTCTTGGCCTGAGTCAATTTCCAAAATCTAATGATTTTGTTTAAGGTCTTCTTGGTTCAGTTGAGAACCTTTAAGCATCCCTATCAGTGTTTGTAAGCTTTTGAAATATTTGTAGATAAAAAAAAAACGGTTAAAACAATTCAATTCCTGATTTCTAAGCTATTAACTTTTTGCAAGACTTTTCTATTGCACACTAGCTCTCTTCCTTGCACCGTCTGTGCATAAATCGGCTTGTTTCCTTCTGAATGCCATTAACTCCCAACTTGAAAATTATTTAGGAGTCTTTTATTCAGCCTCCATTCTTGGTCAGAAGGCAAGTGTCTATGGGCAGCTACTTTTTAATTTGGTATCATTTTATGAAAGCACTCTTGATGATTTACTATAAAAGTAAAAGACAAAATAAAAGAGAAATTTAATTCCATGAAGAAAAACAGATTACTGTGAAAAAAAGTCTACTTCTGAGGAAAAATTGGAAGTTCATACTTTGATTCATTGTACCCATTAGGTCCTGTCTCAGACACCAGGAACCACTAGGCACTTTGTTAAATTTATTTTTCAACTAAAACCAAAACTAAATCAAACATTTACTTATTTCTTTTAACACTTATCAAGTGGCAGAATTAAAAAATATAAGCTAAGGTAATTGATCTTATACAAATTATATCTCTCTTGTTTCATTAAGCATTCATGCAGTTATCTTTGGTTCATATAAGCTTATAATTTCTCTTAATTTATCTATTTTCAATTAATCATCCTAAGAAAAGATATTCTTAGTTAAATAACTCCGTTACAGACTTGTTTCATATCTTGTGAGTTGTTTTTTTTTCTTATATATTGTAAATATATAAGACAATTTAGAAAATATTTTTACTTTGACATGTTTCACCTATTATCTGGCATCATCAGGAAAAACTTTTTATTTCACAACAAAATCTACATTGGTGGGAATGAAAACATGACTCATATTAAGCAGCTGAATGTTTTATTTATTCAACTATATTATTAAAAAAATTAAATTTTAACTACATTTTATTTTTTCATGATTTACATTGTTTCAGTAGTAATTTAGTAAAGAAATGGGATTAACTGAAATAGATTGGTCATATATTAAATAAAAATAAAATTTATAAGTTGAATTTAGTTAAAATCTAATTTCTATAACAATACAACTTAAGTGAAACTCAAATGTTCAACTGCTTAACAGGAATCACATTTTGTCCTGTTAACGTAGATTGTATTCGTGTCAAATTCTTTTCCAAATTTTCTTATATATTTACCATTCCATTGGATTCACATCCAATTTTATTTGCCTATATATTTATATACAAAATCTAATAAAAGTAATGCTTTGTATTTTTCAGTGAACTCTCCAGAGACGCCACAAGCTGCCACTTCTGCTGGAATTAGTGATGGTGGAATTGTTGGGGTCATTATTGCTCTCCTCATTATAATTCTTATTGTCATTGATCTTGGCTGTTATGTCAAATTGAACAAAGGCGTCACCAAATTTCTGCTAGAGAATGCCTGTAAAAGAGGTGCTGCAGGCAAAGACAAATCAACTGATGTTGAAGCTGGAGCAAGGTAAAGTGATACTAAATTCTTGGATTGTGTTTTGTAAACATTGAGACATAGAAACAAACTTGCAACAAAGAAAGTCATCTAACAATGAGAGGGTTTACTTCTATTTATAAATTTGTCTTATTTTCAAATTAATTCTACTCTTTTTTTTCTTTCTTTCTTGTATGATTTGTATGTTCTTAAAAAAAGTAACTTGTGATTATTGCATCTGAAATTTGAACATATTACTAAATTTTACCTGATGAAACATTCTGATGAGGATCTTTACCTCTGTTGTTTTGATCACTACATTTTAGCCAATGTTCTCCCTGACCTTTAGGTGTACACTCTATTCAATCATATCAGATATGTAGTCAAATATTTTTCTGGGGTATAACATTTTACTATTGCAGTAAAAATGGAAAAGTTAAAACAATCTAACAAAGAGGAAGAAAAAAGATAAAAATATAATTACCATAAAGAAGCAAATCATCAAAGAAAGAAAGAAAAAATACCCCTCCCCCCTATCCACCCAAAAAAGGAGCTGATCAGTTATCGTTTCTCAAAAGATGAATCAAGGAATATAAGTACACATTAAATATAAAATACAGAAAAAATACCAATCACACAAACACACACACATAACCCAAATATTATGATTACTTTAAACTTATATACATTTGCATATATATATATATATATATATATATATATATATATATATATATATGTAAATGTTTTTATTTAGAAATACAATTTATGAAATATCACTTCTTTTTACATTTTTGAAAATTTTCCATAGAGGGCAAACAAACAAATACATAAAAAAAATGCTTTGCATAATAACTTCAGATGGACACTGTGTGTGTGTGTGTGTGTGTGTGTGTGTGTGTGTGTGTGTGTGTGTAAATATGTGTGTGTGTGTATATATATATATATATATATATATATATATATATATATCTCAGAACAATGTTAGGTAAATGAATGACAAAGTGGAAAAAGTTCTATGTAATGTGTTTTGGCTTCTAGAAGGACTTCATCAGACTAAATGTTTTTGTTGATGGAATTATGTGTAGGAAGGATAAATGGAGATATAAAAACACAAATGTTTTTCCACTTTGTCATTCATTTGCTATATATATATATATATATATATATATATATAATGTTAGCTATTAATAGTAGGAATTGATATACATAAAATGGTATAATTTAATGTTTGTTAAAATGAAAAGAATTTCTGCCAATAAAGTCTTCAATATATGATGAAAGCAATAATTACAGCATTAGAGATAATAATGTTCAATACTTATCCATGTGGGCTTGAAGTTGCCATCATTAAGTATTGCATGTTATATACACACACACACACACACACATTGAAAAATTCTTGACTTGACCTGTACAAATGATTTTGGATCCTGAAGTGTATATGCTTATATTCACCAAACAATTCAATGCATTTGACACATCCTTTCCCAAGTTTCCTTAACTCTTTCCAAAATAATTCTACTTGTTGGTCATTGAAATACTGATTTGCCTGCTCAGGCACATTTATGCTTCTTTAACACCTACTCAGTCAGTCTATGGTTTATGCTGCAACTATGCTGAGAAGACCTTAGTTACAGTTTCTGGGAGAATGTATGATCAATAGTTGAACAAAGCCAAGTACGATCAAACCCTCAGTCACTGAATTGTAGCTATGCGCAAGAACAACCGTCAATGGCTTGCTTAACAGTGTCATCTACCCAATTTCACTCAAGGCTTGTGTCAACCCATGATATGGTTTTTGGTGCACTTCTCAACAGTGCTGCATGCTGAGATTGTCTTCCTAGGCTGATATTAAGAATTTCCTTACCTAACAAATTGTGGTGAACAGTCACATAGAAGCAAGTGAGCCAGAGTGCAAAGGAAAATAAGTCACTTACTTCAACGTGTGGCATGTGGCATCAGCATTTTGATCCTTGAAAAATGGCATTACTCTCTTGGCTACCTATTCCAGCAGTATATGCTGTAACGGGGTTTTTTTTTCGTACAGTTTGGCATGGTTTGACTAATAGCAAGTCATGTGCTGATTGGTCAGACTGGAGGGAGGCTATTTGCCTGGGTAACTGAAAACAAAAGCAAAGAACGCTGATTGGTTGGTCAGCCATGATGTTGGCCTGATAAGATGGCTGAAGCAGTGAGAAGGCAGAATAGTTTTACGTTGGTGAAGTGTGCAGAACGCAAGGATAGCGGATTGAACAAGTGGTATTGTGTAATGTACGAACGACATCAAAGGAATAGACACTCATTTAACTACACAAATTAACGCTGGTGAGATTCAAACCTGGGTCTCATGGTCAAAACACTAACATTCTAACTACTTAGCCAAATCACTATATGCACATGTGCGTGCATACACACACACGTTTTGTATATTCTTTATTTATTTAAAAGTGCTCTATTTTAAATGCCTTTAAGAGAGCATTTTAGTATATATGAAAATAACATTTCTTTTTTGATTATTTAGCCATTTATTATTCAGACTCATTTTTAAAAGTGCACTATATGAAATAATCTATTAAAGGCTAAAGAATCAAAAATGCTAAATGTGATTTTTATATATATATATATATATATATATATATATATATATACACACACACACACACACAAACAAACATGCGGCACATTTAGAAAGTGCTTGAAAACCATACCACAGGTTGACCCAACCCTTGTGAGTGAAATTGGATAGCATGAAGTCATAAGCCATTGTAACTGAGGGTTTGAGTGTGCTGGTGGTGTTCAGATTGTAGATCATTCTTGATAACACATACTCTCTACCAGAAACTGTAACTAAGGTCTGCTCAGCATAGTTACAGTGTAAACCACAGGCTGACCCTGTGGGTATTGAACAAACACAAATGTGCCTGAACAAAAGTCTGCAATAGGGGTTGGCTAGCCGCCCTAGTAGATGGGTATCCTCAAATACGAGTGGCCAGCTATTATTATATATATATATATATATATATATAGTCATACACAGACAGATTGTTTCGCTGTATCACAGCTCATCATTGTGGCTAGACATCCGGTTGCCTCTAGTTAGGATTGAAACCGGGCTGAATTGGTGTCAGTCAGAGATTTTACCCCTAAGCGTTGTTGGCGCACAATAGGGAAAAAAGGTGAATTTAAACATATTTATTTTTAGATAAACACACAGTGACTGAAAGAACTCGATTAGATTTACCGAAGAGTCATGCATTATTAGCCGTAATAGTCACTGTTTACAAACCCACACTTCCTCCCCAGAGAGCTCAACCGAAATAAATTTTTGAGGAGCATAAGCAGCATATCTTCATTCAAACATGTTTCATTGAATAATATAGACATATTGTGTATATTTTTATAATAATCCTTTCTAGTTCTCTAATCAGTTTCTTGATGTTTAGATGAAATTCATCAGGGAAGGTGCCATAGTTTTTTCCTACCCAAGTACTTACAATCTCCTCCAAGATCATCCTCAGGGTGAATTACAAAGAGAAACTTATTGTAACCTTGATCATCGTGATGGTGAATTTTTTAAAAAAATGCGTGAACACGCTCTGTTATAATTATTTAAAAATTTATCCAATGTAGCTATGAAATTTTTGCAAAACAAGCATCCCAATATAAGGGAGCTGACCAGAAATTGGTAGAAATGCTAAATGCCATTAAATGTTGGTTAAATGCACTTCAAATCATGGCTGCTACACTCGTAATAAATCTTGTTCAGCGTTGGTTGGTTGCTTTTGTTGTAAAGGGCCTCAAGAATTTGAAGTTTTTGCTTATTATTTTCATGGTGTTGTATATTGGTGTTGTCAACATGTATTTTCCTGTATTGTGAAAGTGGACAGGAATGTGTTTTTAAATATTTTACAATAGTGTGTCTGTGTGTGTGTTCATTCCATATGAAATCATGAACATTTTCTGAGTCACCCTTGCAGATTGTCCTTAAACATTTTACCAATTCATCAACCAAAGTAATTGAAAAATCATAAATAATAAATCCATGTCAGTAATAGTTTTTTAAATTAAAAGTCTTTGAAATTTTACTTAATTCTATGTATTTTAATAATTGAGACTTTCATCCATTTTTCAGTATTATAAATGAATGAGATTTGATGTAATCATTGTCATTGTATAATCATCAGGCTAGCCAAAGAACTGTTGGAAGATTTAAAGTTGCACTATTGTAGTTTCTCCCAAGAATGTAAATGTTATGTCTCCAAACAGTTTCAAGTTCAAGTGCCACATAGTGTAGAACCTTATCAGGAAATATAAAACAATGCAAAACAACAAAAATAATTTAAAAAGGATATTGGGAACCAATAGCATCTCTTGACAAGTAAAATATCCCAAGAAACCAACAATAATCAAAAGATCTTGACCAAGACTGTCCTGAAGAATCTGACATCACCATATGGAGGCAGGTACTGCATAAGCCTGATCTCTATGCTTTCAGATAAGGGAGGACTTCAACCAAAGCAGACAAAGTCTTGTGTAGCTTTTGAAAAATCACACCTGTAAAAAGGCAAAAAATTTGGTTAGAGGAGACAAAATTTTGTTGTTTTTTTTTAACCCTAGAACACTAACCACGAGTATAATATACAAATTTTCCTATTTTTAATTACAATTTTCAGTACCTGGTTTTCTTACCTAAATAATGTTTTTCAGTTCCTATTAATGTTAACTCAAAGTACAAAGTTTGAAGTGTCTGCATGTAAAATATTTCAAATAAAGATTTATATTTAATAATTATTTTAATATTTTCAAAATCAAGTATGATATACCCATGGTTAGTAGTGGTGTAACCTTAATAGATGGTTAGTGTTCTAGGGTTAACACAACAATGTAGCTTTTATTTGGAGAAAGAAAGTCTTTGGTCAAGCATGCTAGCAGGAATGTAAAATTGAGTAAAACAAGGTGTGGCAGAAAAATTAATGAAACTGAGGTAACTGATGATGTGACTAAGCAGCCTGGCACTAGTTCAGTCAGTCAGTCAGTTATGTGCCATACGTGATACATGTATATTTCGATACATGACTGACGAGGCAAATTTTTCCTGCAGTAGGTTGCCATTTCTTTCTGCAGTAGACCAGTTGCCATCCAAGGTTACAGAACCTGATCTATCCTGCTATTTACCCATAGCTGGGGGAGAAGAGGATTAATACCTTTCCCAAGGGCATTAGCACATAAGTGAATGTAATGGATTTGAGTGGAATTTGATTTTGGCTCTCCGATTCCTCAACCCGAGCCACTATCCACTACTCCACGGTGCCTAATTAGTTACATTATAAAATGACACAACATTTGAACAACTGTCTCAGCTCTATGAAGCAATTAGTTTTCTTTTCTTGTTTGGTTTTCTAATGCCTGTGAAAATGTGCTCTTTAACATTGAGTCTGGAACTAAGAGTTCTTGGTTGAACATTTATCCAAAGCAGATGCTAGCCATCCTGAAAAGTGTACATGAATGGGACAATATTCCTGCAACACTGGAATATTCTCCATCCTCACCAAATCTAATACTACTTCCAATAGTAGAAAAATATCCTCAAAGAAACTTCTTTCAAGTGTATAACGTATTTCAAGCCACCTGTAGCCAGGTTCTTGAATGACAACATATAGGCTCTTTAAGGCACAAAAGAGGGGAATATTTTAAAGAGGACAATAAGAAATATATAGTTATTTCAACAAATAAAAAATTAATTGATAGAATCTTGTTTATTTTTACCTTACTTCATATCTTCAAGATTATGAAGGAAAACATCAGCCAGTTAAAAGAAAATCTTGGCCTTGAGATACTGAGAAGATTAGTATAAGCAACACAATTCCATTTTTTTTTTTTTTCTTTTGTTTTTTTATATTCAATTGAACCTGACTCATTACTTTAGACAGACTGTGGCTCTGTTCAACTTCATCACAGATTTGACTTTCTTAAAATTACTGTTACCTCTGTAGAGACATTTCGTTAGGTTGTCAGGGAATTACAGTAAAAATTGTTAATCTGCAAGAAATTGACTGAGTGTTTTTAAATTTGGATTCTGTGCTTGTCTAAATTACTTTTTCCTTTCTCTGTTAATCAACTGAAATAACTATGTTAATTGTAGATTTGTATCATAGTCCAATTTTCTTGTTTCAGCCTCATTCCTATAATGCTTAAAATCAGTTAGACATCATAAATGATTTGTTTATTAAAATTCCCAAAACTTTTATCCTAATTACACATTAATATAATGAATTGTTTGTAATTTTCTTTAGAATAAATAAAGTCCTTTCAGTGGTAAAGAACTTAACTCTTGAACTATCACCCCTTTTCTTGAAAACACAATTGTTTCTTGACTATATATATTTATTGGGTACCTATCATAGTGCAATGTTTACCGCAGATGCATTGTCTCATGTATTCAGTGTGAGTTTTACTGGATCTTGCATTACTGTGGCCAGGTAGATGATTCAGCTTAGTAATTAACTGCAGACTAAGTGAATAGCTGCACCACTGTTTTCTCTGATTCATCAGGCAAAGTATATACTTTTGTATATCAATTTTTTTGTTTTCTTTATTTTGATAGCTGCTCTTGCTGACATTATTTATTTTGAATAAGAAATGTCTAATTTTTTCATCGGTCTCCAATTGAGATTGAAATCTTCAACCAACGTTCATTCTAGATGTGATGCTATGATTGGTACACTCATATAGAAGAAATGATTTTTATCTTAAGTGTTTTATGTTTTCTTTGTGCAGCAGATAAAGTCTTTTTAAGCCAGGTCTTCTAAGTGGTATTCAATTGACTGAAATATATAAATAAATAATAATAATAATAAAAAAGATTTTGAGGTTAAGTGACAAAAATGTTTTTAAAGTACAGACTGTACAAATTGCTGGTAGTCTCCATTCTCCTATATGCATGTGAAACATGGACACTATTGGCAGATACAGAGAGAAGGATCCAAGCGTTTGAGAACAAATACATGAGAAAACTCCTTGGCATTTTCTATTTTGGAAACAATGAGTTTGTGCAGAAAAGGTTTGAAAGTTTTGTGAGACACCAGGAACCTCTTCTTGCCACTGTCAAATGGAGAAAAATGGCGTGGTTTGGTCACATTACAAGACATGACAGCCTGTGCAAGACCATCATGCAAGGCACTGTTGAAGGTGGATGTCAATGCAAAATCTGGTTGGACAATGTCAAACAATGGATAGGTATGACATTACCAGAATTGCTGATGGCTGCCATTGATAGACCATTGTGGAAAAGAGTTAGTGTGGCTTCTGCATTTAGATCCACCCTACAATTACAAGTGTCAGGGGGTGGGTATGATGATGATGATGATGAAGAAGCAGCAGCAGCAAGATGCTAGACATTGATGATTTCCGGTTGCTGATCTATATTAATTATCCAATTGTCTAGTGTATTCAGGTATTGAGGTTAGATTTAAGATAGCCTGTTCTAGGCTGGACATGATAAGAGACTGACTGACTCTTGGGTACTTCTGATGCCACCTGTTTATATTATCAGCCACACATTGTGATATATAGATAGGCAGAGAGTTGATAAGAGAGCTGTGCTATTAGGCTGATATGGTAGAAGTTGTCCTAATTACCCATCCAGACTGAGCAAGCAAAACCCTGAATGTGTTGGAAACAGGATTTGAATTTTCATTTCTTGATGTGGTGTTTGTTTTCATTGTTCTGTTCTTTGTGAACATGCAGCAGGCCTTTCCCAGTTTAAGGTGAATGCTGACATGTTGAGAATATAGACACAGATTGTCATAGTCATTGGCAGGTTGGTGAAAAGCTGGTTGAGTGTCCTGTTCTACATTTACACTGATGTGCAAGTTTTTTTTTTTTGTGGTTGTTTTTTTTTCTTATTTCCCACTTATAAATCTCTCAAGCCTTTTACATGCAGATGTATTTGTTGATTTCTCTCTTTCAGTCAAGAAACAAATCTATTAGCAGAAAAGGAGAAAAAGGACGGAGAAGCCAATGGAGAAGAAAACAAAGAACCTGCCAGTGATGAAGGCGTCACTGAGTATGTCAAGTATTTCTCTTAACATTTCATAGTTGTGGTGGTGGGTAATTTTGCATTCAAGCAGTTCCTGCCTGTTGTAAATTCTACCATTTGGTTGTGAAATCTCCACTACCAAAAGGGAAAAAAATTCACCATGAATGTAAATGTTATTAACATCATAATGGATGTAACTTACTTGATTCTTCACTAGAAATTCATCCAAATATGTAAATGTTATTAACATCATAATGGATGTAACTTACTTGATTCTTCACTAGAAATTCATCCAAATATGTAAATGTTATTAACATCATAATGGATGTAACTTACTTGATTCTTCACTAGAAATTCATCCAAATATGTAAATGTTATTAACATCATAATGGATGTAACTTACTTGATTCTTCACTAGAAATTCATCCAAATATGTAAATGTTATTAACATCATAATGGATGTAACTTGATTCTTTACTTTGATTCTTCAATATGTAAAATTCATCCAAATATGTAAATGTTATTAACATCATATGTAAATGGATTAAACATAATGGATGTAACACTTGATTCTTCACTAGAAATTCATCCAAATATGTAAATGTTATTAACATCATAATGGATGTAACTTACTTGATTCTTCACTAGAAATTCATCCAAATATGTAAATGTTATTAACATCATAATGGATGTAACTTACTTGATTCTTCACTAGAAATTCATCCAAATATGTAAATGTTATTAACATCATAATGGATGTAACTTACTTGATTCTTCACTAGAAATTCATCCAAATATGTAAATGTTATTAACATCATAATGGATGTAAACTAATACTTGATTCTTCACTAGAAATTCATCCAAATATGTAAATGTTATTAACATCATAATGGATGTAACTTACTTGATTCTTCACTAGAAATTCATCCAAATATGTAAATGTTATTAACATCATAATGGATGTAACTTACTTGATTCTTCACTAGAAATTCATCCAAATATGTAAATGTTATTAACATCATAATGGATGTAACTTACTTGATTCTTCACTAGAAATTCATCCAAATATGTAAATGTTATTAACATCATAATGGATGTAACTTATTCTTTGATTCTTCACTAGAAATTCATCCAAATATGTAAATGTTATTAACATCATAATGGATGTAACTTTGATTCTTCACTAGAAATTCATCCAAATATGTAAATGATTGTTATTAACATCATAATGGATGTAACTTACTTGATTCTTCACTAGAAATTCATCCAAATATGTAAATGTTATTAACATCATAATGGATGTAACTTACTTGATTCTTCACTAGAAATTCATCCAAATATGTAAATGTTATTAACATCATAATGGATGTAACTTACTTGATTCTTCACTAGAAATTTTATAACATCTGGATTAAATTACTTACTATCTACGAAACAAAGACATTTTGTCTATTATGCTAGACATACACTTTCTTATTTATTCATTTTTCTCTTATAACAATTGACATTATACCTACTTTGCTGTATAATCATATACGAGGGGGGATTTTATAACCAAATTTGGAACTTGCTCTATAAGGTGTTAATAACTTCATTATTGAGATCTGTACTCAAAACAGTGAGGACCAATTCTGTGAGCCAAACATGATAAAAATTCACCAATTGCAAAAAGAAATCCATATTTCAATAATAATCCCTCCTAATTAATTTGCTTAAATAATTTAACTGGAAGTCTAGAACTATTTTATTGTGTACAGTAATTGGCCATGGTTAAATGTAATTAGCAGAAATGTCCAACAAACAAAACTGACAAAGTTTGCAATAAACAATAACAAGTGAAACAAAAGAGAAGAACAAGTCAAAAATAATAATAATAATGTGCAAACAACATATGCAAGGCAAAGCAATAGTAATAAGTCAAAAGTTCACAAACTCTCAGTTTGTTAACCTTTTGCCTTATGGTGTTAACACACAAAAGGGGAGACAGACAAGCTGTCACATTGTTCTGGCCTCAAGAAAAGAAACAACAGAAATAAGTTGGATGAGACTAAGAAGAAGCTTAAAAAATCCCAGCATGCATCTGTGTGTTTTGTCTATAAATTTGGTGAGGGGGGGACATTTTTACAGTCATTCCTCTAGGATTGGAACCAGCATGTTAAGATTTCCTGCATTTCAGTATAAATTGGTGAAAACATTTTTCTTTTATCACTTGATACTTCCAACTTGGCAATCGTTAATTCATTGGAAACAAAAGGAGATATTTAAATGGTTTCCTGAACAGTATTTTATATGCCATAAAGCATATCACTTTCTTGGGTTTAACATAAGATCTTGACAAAATCAAGGACTTTGATGTATACAAGATATACTTAGACATGAGTGTATATGGTATCTAGAAGGATTTTGCCTATTCTAGTGTATATCCAAAAAGTAGCTTACTCAAGGTCAAGGAAGAAGTAATTGCTACATAACAGGAAACATAAATATAAGAAAAATAATGAAAGCCTTTTCAGTACTTTCACACTTAATCCACATCAAGTTGATATTATTGTTTATCTCAATTTATCAACATGTGCCAGGTAGGCCTTCTACTTGATCAGAACAATTTGAAAATAACTACATATTTGCAAGCCTTATTTGTTCTTCCAAGAACAAGAAACAAGCTTTCCCCAAGTTTTCACTTGTTTTACCAATGTTGCTTATTCATTAAGATTTGCTTTTTGAAATGCTACTGCTGCTGATGTAATGACTGTCACTTGATTTCTTGATTTTTCAGTGAAAAGAATGAAGATAAAGATGAGTAAGTATTTTATCTCTATTTCTCCTTAATTTGTAAAAATAACTTTTTTTTTTTTTTTTTTTTAAGAATAACAATTAAACTGGATTTCCCAGAAACAATTAGCCCCAAATTGTTGGCAGATTTGACATGTTCACAGATTGACATGAATCTTTACACAGTCATTTTGTGTGTGTTATACAACCATGAAACTAATTCTTTACTAAAAGAAGACCTTAATTCAATTTCTGTCTTTAATTTTCCCTGGAAATATTCTTTACAATAATATATTTAGTTGAATCCAAAAAACCTTGATTCAAGATTGTTATAGTAAAAGGACTTGTCTTCAAACACTCTTTTTGGAAATCATTTTATTTTGAAAGTCTTTGCTTTCAATCAATGACATCATTTATAAATCTGCATCCAAACAAACCTGTTACTAATGCTTTATGGATTTTATTTTTATTTTTTTTGTTAATTTCTATTAGTGTAATTATTTTTATTTTATCTTAGTAGCATATAAATTTTAAATAAATTTATTTCCTCTCAAGTTAGATTTGATGTTTAAACAGATTATTTTTCTTTTAAGAACTTTTTTCATTAAACTCTTATTTAAAAAAAAATAATTTCTTATAAATATGTGACAAATTTTGATTTTTAATTTTTTAAACCTTGATGCAATTGTAGATCTTAAAAATCTTTAGAAAATCTCTAAAGACCTTTCAAATCAAAATGTCTTTGCTCGTTTTAGATTGATGAAAGATCACACGGATGAGATTGAACCAGATCAAAAGAAAGATGAAGAGATCATGAGTGTTAGTAACTTTTTATTTCTTTCCACACTGTTTGAACAATTAGACATTTTCAATACTTCTAACAAATGCTTTATTATAATTAGATATTTACAAATTCTAACTTACTGTGGTGTTAAATATCATCTGAAAATAAATTTTATTAAAAAATTTTATGAAAATGAAAGCTTATCTTGCGTATTTATGAATGAACTCTTCCCCTAAATTTTATGAAAATGAAAGATTATCTCATGTCTTTATGAATGGACTCTTCCACTAATTAAAGAAGTTTCTTCTGTCCCAGTGTAATGTTGCAATCTGTCTGAACCATTTATGGCTAGATTTTGATTCAAAATCCAACTTGCCCTCTCATTGCACTTAAAGAAAGAGCAAAGGTCATGGTGAATCTTTAATACCTGAGGTATACCATCAGGGAAGTACTGAAAGAGACTGAACAATTTTTGTTACTAGTATGATTTTTATTACAATTTTTGTTACTAGTACTATGTAGACAGCAAAGATGAGACAGTCAAAGACCCTGCTATAAAGACTGCTCAAGAGAGAGCTGAAAGGGATGCAGATCGATATAAACAACTGAAAACAGCTGGTTGTGGGCTACGTTACATAGCCCTGAACAATTCATACTCGATTAACAACAATTGAAGCATTACGGCTGGCCACTTATCGGTGCACATCTGCCTACATATATGGCAGTCATTCCATTCAAACCCCTGATCCTAGATAGATCTCCTCGTGTCTTTGTTGAATACGACTAAGAATCGATGATGACAATGATGTAGATATGTCATTCTCACCTGAAACACAGCCTTGCGCCATATTTCATTTGAGAGGGTGTATGGATAGGTATATACTTCTACAATCTGCCCTGTTGGAGTTAATTATTTAAAGTATAATATACTTATCTCAAGGCAGCCTTTGTGCAGGTAGAATCTTTGAATATACCCACAATGTTTTGGGCATTGTACCCTCTGGCTTTCCTTCAGATGTCTGTCTTTTTTTATGCAGTAACCTTCTTAGAATTTAGAACCAGACCATTTATTCAATAAATGGAGACAGAATGTCCTCATTTCCCATACTGTCGGGGAGATAATTCTTATCAGTTAATAGTTAATACTCACCAGTCTTACTCTCCTTTGTGTTGCTTGTCTGTTTCTTCCACTCAATCAGATTAAATGATGTTTCTACACTGTTTACTTCAGAGATTGAACTCAGAACTGTCATAAAACCAGATATGTTTTAACTAATGCTTTAATCCACCAGGTCATATGTCTTTTGGACAATCTAGTATTGACATTCTGGAGCCTTGAATATTTCTAGTCCAATGGTAGGATTGTGTGACATCTCCTCATTCAAGTGGTAGTATGACTTCTTTTTACTACTATCTTTTCTTTGTTAATTAGAGGCTACCAAATGATATTTGTGTCTATGCTAGTTCTACTGAGAAGATTGTCACCACTGTAGTCAGTACAGACACTGTTTAAGGCTCTCTACAATTTCGACACTAGATTGTCTATCAGATACATGGCCTGGTGAATAAAAGCATATCTGTTTCCTTAGCAGTTATAAGTTCAACAACTAGGTTTAGTAATGCTAAACAGTCACATAATCTAGTTCAGTGGGAATAAATGAAACAGCATGAAATGTAAATAAGATTGACATCAAATATCCTCTTAGCATGGAAAGTAACATGAGACCAATCTGGAATAAAGAGCTTGTAGCAAAATTCAGTCATCCAGTATTTTTTATATTAAAAATCTGAACATCCACATTCCAAACAATAATAATGCCTTTTAAATTAATCATTTGTATTTACAAGTATATCTACATGAATTCAAAAGAGTTAAAAAGGAGTGAAAATAATCTTTAGTTGAGTTAAAGTCCTTGGGTAATTGGTTCACAGAAAAACTGTCGTTTAGAAAAGACTTTTAAATAGTTGAGCCACACTAAAAAAGTTGTTGTTTAGAAAAGACTTATATTGCCAGCGAAGATTTACTGACCGCTCCTGCTGTTATTGCTATTTCGTTTGAAGTCATCAACACATACATGATTGTCAGCAAAGATTCACTGATTGTGTCTACTTTTGGTGTTGGAGATGTTTGAAGTCTCCGACATATGTTTCTTTCAGCATGTTATGGAGGGAAGAAAAAAGCTATGTATCCACATCTTCTCTTTTGTTAGAACAGATTGGAGATAGTCACATCCTTGCTCGCTGAAAGTCAAAATCTGTGGAGTTTTATAAGAAATTTTTCCCAATAGTAGGATCAAGAAAAATATAGTTTTAGTTTTCTCTGATTGGTCAAATATTTCATATGGTGATGTTAATTTCTAACCAATAGATACTTTGATTTAATCATTGTGTGTTGTATTGTGGAATCTTTCTTGGCATGTTTGAAAATATTGTGTTGTTGAGAAGAAAATAAAATTTGGGTGCATTTTAATATGGTATGTATGTGGGTATGTAATTGTGATAAAAATAGAGTTTATTCCCTCTTAGGTTTATTTTGGAATTCCCAGAAGCTTACCAATTATGAAGATAGACATTTGAAGAAGGCAGTAGGTTATATTGTGATTATAACAACCAACATAAGCATGCTGATTCAAATAGCAAAATATATAATAATGATAATTCTTGATCTAAAAAATTAAGAAAAAAATACAATAGGCACCTGAAGATGGCCAAGAGGGTACAATGACCAAAATGCTGTGAATATAATAGACAAGATGAATAAAAGGTTCAAATAGCAAATCATATAACAATAATAATAATTCCTTATTGCAAAAAATTCCAACAAAAGTAATATTGACATTATTTTAAAATGTAATTTTTTTTAGGCAGTTTCTTTTTTTTTTTTTTTTCTATATTCTTTCTTCTCTTTATCTTCAGTGATGATTTCTTTGATGCCGAATTATCCTAATTAAAACAAGTCAATGTGAAAGTGTCTGTTTTTCTTTTCTCTTGCAGCAAGATCCAGTGAAGGCCTAAAGTTATCATCTTGATGTCTGTCAGTTGTCACTGACCCACTCTAAATACCATTCAACTGCAACAACAATGCTGGTGTCAGTTGGCACACTGTCCATCTGTCTGTCTGTCTGTCTATCTGTCCTGCCCTGCTGCTACCCTTTCTCTCTCTCTCTCTTCTACTGGAGAAAGAGAGAGACTGCTCAAAATGGTGGCACTCATAGTATATGCTCATCAGTAGACAGGCCAGGGCAGATTACATCAGCTTCTCTGATGTAGATTTCACTTTTTTTCTTGAAGTATTTTTTCTTTCCTTTTCTCTTTTTTTTTTTTTTTTTTTTTTTTTTTTTTTAAATCTTTTTATGCGTTTAATCTCGGAAAACAAATTTGTAATGGTTTCCTAAGATTTAGTTGATACAATATAAAGAGAGCAAGCAATGTTATGTTTCATTTTTGACTTGCCTTGACAAATTTAAAAACATTTAAAAAAATTTTTTTTTTTAATTGAAGAATTTTTTCTCTGAAACATTTAGAAAAAAACAAAACAGAAAACCTACATTGAGATAAGATACTTTTATCTCGTAAATCTTTAAAATTGCTTTCTTTGAGTTTCATGAAAATTTATCAACATTTAGAGAAATACTCTACCTTTTTATTAGCAAACAATGCCATATACCATTTTTTATATATATATATATATATATATATATATATATATAAAGCTGGTCAGTATCCTTTATAGGATATTGAAATCTGTTCAGTAAAGAAAGATCTTTTTGGAAAGATATTACGGTATATATATATATATTATTTTCATATTGCCCCCTTTCTTTTGAAACTTGATGTAACTATTGTTTCATTTCTTCAGTTATCGCACAAATGTTAGTTCTTTTTATTCTTGTTGGTTGATCTATGTAAATGTGTTTTGCTGTGGGACGGGAGGAGGGTCTGTGTTGTTGTTGGTGCTTTTGTTCATTTTTAGTGGTTTTATTTTTTTGTTGTGGTTTTTTCCTGCCTGGAAATTATTGAAAGTGGCGGGGGGCTTCAATCCTGATAAAGCGAGGAAGATAAGGATTTTGCTGTTGTCCTGAGAATTTTTTGTTTTTTCAGAATTATTTTTGGATTCCCTATTGGCATGTGGAGCCCATCTGCAGGTGTATTTTTCTGTTTGTAAGTTAAACTGGTGAAGATACAAAGACAAAAAACCCCAAAAAACAGCCACTATTATTTCACACTTGTTTCTTTATTTCACTCACACTCACCTTAAGTCTCTCTTGTTGTCCTCCTCCTCCTCCTCCTCCTCACCCTAAGTCTCAGTTGTTGTGCTCCTTCACCTCCTCAGTCACTCACAGAAATGTTAGTAAATCTTCTAAGTCACACTTGGCATTTAGGAATTGGTCTGCTTTTTATTTCAAACTTCAAATCTTTGTTTTTCAACCTGTAAATTCCAGTTTTCCACTCTCTTCAACTGTCTTGCACACAATTGTGATGTTTTTTTCTTTCTTTCTTTCTTTCTTTCTTTCTTTTTTTTTTCTTTTAATATTTGAGTGTATATGTTTTGAGATGGGGTGACATTTTTTTTCGCCCACTTCTGCTGATATGCACTCACCCACATACGTCAGGAGAAGAACTTAAGCTACAGAAAGAAAAACCGTTATTTTGATTGACAGTGTGTCATTTTTCTTACTCCCCAACAGCACCATATCACCATTTTTGCCCTTGCTGTCTGCCCTGGCAGAAAAGATTTTATAAAAACTTTTTAATGTTCATTTATTAAAATATGTTGAGGTTTCTTTTCCCAATCAGATGTCTTTCAGATGTCCTTTTCTGTCAGGTTTCTCCTCAGCCATGACAAATGGTCCCAAATATGTGGCGCTGATGATGCATTTTGGAAACAAGTTTCAACAGCTGCTGCTGCCTTTGCACTTCTTTTTCATTGTCTGTCAGTACATAAAAAGGAGTTGCATTTGGTTGTAATTGCACAAGCTCACTTCAAAATTCAAAATGTCATTTGTAAATAACAGGTTCTGTTCGATTCAGATAGAGGCATTGAGTACTTGTAGCAGGTTGATGTTCATTATCTTGCATCAACAATCTCTTCTGACAGAATTGTTTTCAAATCTTGGAACTTATGATAGATCAGTAAAATATCTCCCTATACCAGGTAGGTAAAAATTAGTAATTTACTAACCTTTCTCCCACTTGAAAAGACAGATCTTTTTTTTTTTTTTTTTTTTTTTTTGCTAGAATGAAAATCTGGTTTTAAAACTTTACAAAGCCGATCAAGATCAGTTTGAAAATAGAAAATTGGTTTGTTTGTTACTTAAGAAAATAATTTCCTTGTTAGAAAATCCAAAATGATTTTGTTTAGAATGGACGTTTAGTGAAATATTGTTCCTGAATAGCATCAGTGCCACTATAAGCAGTGAAACGCCATTTCTTTTCCACTCCAAGGCCAGTCTTTATGTAACTCAAACGATCAGTATTATTATTATTATTATTATTATTCAACCACCTCATGCACTTTATGTGCTGACTTTACCCCATTTGCAACTCATCATCAAATGATATTTCAACAAAGTTGGCAGAATTTTGGACTCCTAACCCAAATTTCTTTACCTGTTATCAGTTTTTCCTCAAATATGTGACATTAGCAAGTGGAGACATTCTTTGAGTGGTTCTATATATATTTCTTTTAGAAGACTGAACAATTGAGAAACAGACATTTTTTTTCAAGCCATACTAAATTCTAAAATTCCTTATATCACTTTGGCTACTTTCTGACTTTTCCTCCCTGCAGGGGGAGGGGGGATACCCCCTCCCCACTTCATTTTATTTCCATTTGTCACTTGTGTCCACATTGTATAAATATCCATTTGTAAACTATGTTCATTTGTATCGCTTTCTGCAGAAATATGATTTCAATTTAGCAAGCAAATTTTATGCTAGTGTAAAATGAACTCCTCTTTCAACAAAGAAATTATATCTGCTTAGTCTCCCAGTTTTTTTTTTTTGTTTTTTTACTGTTGTTCCACCAAATGGTAAATGATGCTGCTCATCTCCATAAAATCTCTGCCTTTAGCTTCTTTCAAAAACTGCCATGTTAATTAAAGTATTTGTGGCTTCCTCTGTTAAAAAAAAGAAAAAAACAAAAGTATTAAACTGAAAACAACCCACTTATTTCTTGTTTCCACTCCTTTTTGTTGAAACTCGTCATTGTTTCTTCTTTGCTACGTTGTCACTTTGGAAACAGCTGGTTCCTTGCAGAAAGGCTAGAGTGAGGGTAGAATAATTGCAGTCAGTTAACTCTAGCATGATGGCCAATGTCATATGACAGAGTTGCATGCTCTCTTGAGCTTCTCACCTCACAAAACACATACACATACACTTTCTCTTCTAGCATTTATGTTTGGTGTGGGGGGTGTCTTACTAATTTAATTAGCATTGCCACAACTTCTCTTATCATTTTCATACTGACTATTCTTACCAACTTGAGGAAATTAATATTAATTAAAATTCTTAGAAGATAGAAATTAGATTTGACTCTCTAAAATGAAAACTTATTCCTGATTCAGATGCAATAAAAGAAGGAATATTTCCAAGCAGATCAAAGAGTTTGTATGAATTTTTGCTTTACTGACACAAAATTTCCTGAAATTAATCTTGATCAATCCTTGTTGAAAATAACAGAAACAATTAAGAGATTAGGTAAAAATAACAAAAAAAGGATTTCTTTCTGCATTTTTAATATGACTGTTACTTCTTCTTAAACAAATTTGCCTCCTCCTCTTGACTATCCAGCTTAATAATACAAAGTAAAAGAGAACGGATTTCTCCAATTAGCGATGATAATTTTTGCCTTGGTTTTAATTTTCCATGTTGATTTCCGATTACACATTGACAAAGAGGACAGTGATATCTCCTCCTCCTCTTGCTGCTTTTTCTTCTTATTACTCGTAGGATTGTCAACTTGTGTAGCTTCTTTTGAAGCTCTTATTATTTGTTAAATATTTTTGTTTATCTTTTTCTTTGTTGTGATGAGTATGGCAGGAATGGATTCTTACCCCACAAAAGGACTAAATAAAGATTCTTTCTTTTTTTTTTCTTAAACTTTTAACAAATAAAAAGCAAATGTTCAGTTAGCACTACTGAGAAGTTGGAAGCAACCCACTTTTCATGTTGGAAATCAACATCAGTAAGCAATTGCTTCAAATTCAGACATGACCTCTTTTTCCAGGAAAAGAGTTTAACACATCTTCATTTGCTTCTCACACAAGAAGCCACCTAATTTCTCAGCAAAATTTTATTTATTTATTTATTTATTTTTTTTTTGTGCTTAAAAAAAAACCCCCTTTTTCCAACCAATACTTAGAAGCAGTCATTAAGTGCAACGAGTGTAGTAACTGTTTTCTTCTGCCAAGTCCCAGTCTTTAGGATAAATTCTCTTGCTGCTGTTGGAGTGACAGTTACTCCTTAGCTTAAAATGGCTCTTTCTTCATTTGGCAAGTGTGGGATGGCAATACAAGAAAACTTTACTGAATCCTGCACACTATTTCCTGAATGTGTTCTAAACTGCTGATGTCTGAACAGTTTAATGTACAAATTGAATTTGCACTTGGAGAAACAAAGTTTCTGTTTTCTTCTCTTGACTCTGCAAATCTGTTGTGCCTTAGTTATTTTCCCTTCAAGTTTGATTTTGCTAACAGCCATGTTGAAGGAACTGGATACCTGATTGCAAAATGGAAATATTATTTGAATGCTTCTCTCCTTCTTTCTCATCTGACTGACTCGTGTCTAATTCCCTCTTCTTGAAAAATAAGGTTTTTCTTTTTTTTTTTTTTTTTTCTGGCTACGGCACTATTTTTTGTTTCATTTCTTTGTTAGACATTTTATGCAATACCTATTCTGGCCTTCCCACTTCTTCAAAATGCCTCTCCATTGAAATTAATGCAACCTGAAGGTTAGTTATCTCCAATGTTGATAGCAGCAAACTGGAGAGATATTTAATGGCAGTCATTCTTTACCTTCTTCCTGTTTATGACTTTTTAAAAAATTCTCTTTTGCTTCAAAAATAAACCATTCTTTATTTACTACTTGAAGGAAGAAAAAAACAAACATGTGATTCCTTTTTCATATTGTCAGGTTCTTGGCAAAACCATTTTCCTAGGTCGGGTTTGGGGCTGGTGAAGTGTTATTTTCTAACTGCAGTTGAGCCCGATACTAAATTCCCCCCCATCCCCCACTTGTACAAACCACATATTTATGTGATTCTTCAATGCAACCAACTCTTTCCTAAGGAAAAATTCTCTTGAAAACACCTTGTAATTCATTCACTACTTTTCGAAGGTTAATTTATTGTTGTTGTTAGTGGTGGTGGTCTTATTATGGCAGCAACAACAACAACAGCAACAAAAGACACCAAAATGAATGAATATTTTTTATTTTTTTTGTTGTTGTTGTTGTTGTCTTTCTGCTGATGATGTTTGCTTCCGCAGATGTTGGTAGATTTGTCATAATTGCCACTACATTGCAAATGGGACACAAGAAAGGCAAAATACTTTAATCATAGGTGGAAGATATTCTTTTTTTTTTATTTAAAAGCAGAAAATCAGTTTTCTATTACATTTTTTTCCTCAACCCATATGCTGTTTGAAATGGAAAGATTAGTAGTGATTTCTTAACAAAGCAAATCTTGGTCTTGATGAGAATTCAATTAGTTGGCCTTATCAAGAACAAATGTGCCTTCAGATGGTATTATATTCATTTGTGCTGGAAGGGCCAGACACTGGGCAACAGATAATTCGCTATTTAAGTAATAGCTTTTTCTCTCTCTCTCTCCCTTGACAACAGGTGAACTTACAAGTTCATCTGATTTCCTTCAACTGGTATATATGTAAGCAAAGGTAGGGCTTTTGACAAGAAGCTCCAAGATCTGTGGAAAGTGACCAATCAGAATATCTATTGCTCATTTTTTTTTTTTTTTTTTTTGACAAATCAAGATTGCTTGTTTATTTAAACACTGAAAGAAAAAAAAATAACCTACTCTCTTAAATTATTTTTTAAACACTAATTTTTGACAATTACTTTTTCTTTTTCTCCCCTCGTTCTGCTCACTCACTATGGCCTACCTACCTCTGTAAAGAAAAAGAAAATATATGACTCATTAACATTTTGATTTTAACAAAATGTTGGGTTGCTTTGTATTTTGGAAAGCAAATAAGATAATCCTATTGTTGTTGTTGTTATATTGCACACTTATTTCTTCTCATAAACTGCTTTTTAGTCCAGCCATTGTAGATTTTCATTTAGTAATTGCTTGTCTTCAATCTATTGTCTGTCTGGGTGAAAGGGTTAAAAAATATAACAAACAAATATACATGTCTTTTTCTTCCTGGCCTGCAATGTTTTGATTTGTTTATTTGCTGTGATGTGTAATATATGTGTGTGTGTGTGTGTGTGTGCTCATACCCAGGAGTCCCTTTTTGTTTGAGCAGAAGCGAGCCCCTCCTCTTACTGTCTCTCTTGGTTGATGGCTTCTTTTTTTTTTTTTTTTTTTTTTTTACAAACTCTTTTCTTTCTTTAATCTCCGATTTTTCCCATCAATTCCATGATGAGATTGGATATTGGCTCAGACTTGATTCCATAAAAATGTTTCCAGAGAAAATGGGTTAGTTAACGTGTTGACTTTGGTGGTATTTTTTTTTTTGGCAAAACATTGAGGATTACAGAAGGCTTCTTTTTCATTTTTTTCCATTTTCCTTTTTGTCATTCCTTTGATTCACCATTGCTGGAAGCTGATTTTTTTTTTTATTTTTTTTTTTTCCCCAGAAAACAAATTGAGAGATCAGAATCAACAACAAATTGTTTTCTTAAAAAGGAAGTGGGATTGCATCCCCCCTCTTTCACTCTCTCCCTTTCCCCAACCCCAAGTTTGTTCCATTTCCTCATTTCAGTATGATTGTCCTTAATGACCTTTGACTTCTGCTTCCTTGAAAGGTGGAGGAGGAAGAGGAGATAGTGAGTGTGGTGATAACTGTTTCTCTGCTTCTGTTAGTTGTGAAGGGCCACACACACACACACACACATTTCTTTCTTGACACTAAACTAATAAAAACCTAAGCAGTAAGTATTATTACAAATCAAAACTCACTTTATGACTTGATTTGTGAAGCTTTACAAGACAGGAACAAAATTAAAATTTCTATTTGCTTCTGTATTGCAGTTAAATGCATCTATAACAATTATCTATAAATATTACAAGCCCTTTTTCTTCTTTACATTGAAAAATGGAAAAAATTCTTCAGCTTTCTATTTTGTTTTTTTTCTCTTTTAACTTGGTGATGTAATCTGAGTTTCTTTTTGTAGCCAATCACATTCCACTCTGGAAGAAAAAAAAAAAGTCGAGTGACTCAAAAACAGGTGCAAGCGTTCTAAGAGAAAATCTATAATCTTTGTAAAGGCGTCTCCAAATGCATTCTGCTTTCTATTTCTCTTTGAATTTTTCTCTACAAGCTTTCAATCTCCACAAAAGACCTCCACTGCTCTTTAACTAGCCTGTTCCAGTTTTCAGCTTTTCTCTTCTCAAGTCAACCTTTACATCTAACTTGAGGTCGGATGCTAAGTTCCTCCCCATCCACCAAAGCTACCGCAGCTGTCACTTGTATGCAGTGACCAAGTCTTTTATTAAATATACCATTGTCTAAACATTACTTTGAAAATCTCACACTGCTGCAGACTGGGAAAGCTTTTCTCTCTCTCTCTCTCTCTCTCTCTCTCTCTTTCTCTCTCTCTCGTAGCAGCTATTGTCTGCTGCCATTTTTGTCCCAATATCTTGTAGTCTGCTGCTGCTGCTGCCAATGTCTGAGTTGAGTGAGTTACAAGGGCCTGCTACACGTCTATGTACCAGTCTATCTGTACTATAATGCATGTCACCTTATTGTACATGGAATCTGCTAATAAATATTTAATAAACAAGACATGAGATTTTTTTTCTTTTTATTCCTTACACCAAACAATGTAACCCTATAGTTACAGATTTTGAGAAAACAATTTTATTTTTTCCTTGCCATTCAAATTTATCACTAAACAAGTGTCAGTACATTCAATTTGTTTTCAGATATTAATTAGACAACTTTAAAAAAATTTTGTTGAAAGTTTTTTTAAAATTGTGTCAACTTCTTGTTTTTAGGATTTATTTTCATATTCCAATTGAAAATAATTGAAAGACCATGAACAACACAACCAATGCAATGCTACTCTTTTCACTGTACACACATATATACATATATATATAAATAATTTTGGATAAGTTTTCAGGTGACCCATATAAAAGTATTTGAATATGTAGTTAGTTTGAAAGAAATCTAGCAAATCTATATCAGTCAGCATAACTGGCCTCTAACGTCCTCTCAAAGTAACCAAGAGTGCTTCTCAACAGACACCCAGCTGCTGAAATGACAGATTGGTGGTATTAATCATTGATAACAAATCTATTATGTCATTCATTCACATAAGGCAAAGCTATGAGAAAGTGGAAAAAATTTTGGCAAACATGGATAAATATGCCCACAATAAGACTGAGTGTCAAAATGATGGTTTTTTTCTCATGTTTTAATTGCCTTCACTCTGGTAATATTTGTTTTAAAAAGCGATGATCAGAATTGGAATAGAACCTAAAGATATGAAAGTGAATTTATACATTTTCTTTGTTCTTGAGAATTGATAAAAATAAACACTATTAGATTGTTTATTTACACTGTTACCATATTTTCCAGCTTGCAAGACACTGTGGCTTGGAAAATGCACCCAAATATTGGAAAGAAATTTTTAACAAAAAATATAGTCATTCTTTTACAACAAATTCACTACGCATCCCTCATGTACTGGTGCCACGTATTGTTTACATATAATCACTTGTCTGATTTTGTTTGTATGGCAATGACATACGAGTCAAGAGCAGAAAGGCTCCTGCCACTGCTAGTAAACAGAACATGTTTAAGCTTGTGGTTCAGCTCCAGGAAGGTTTATAGTCTTGGAAATACTTGTAACAGTACTGATGTTACATCATATAAAAGGCTGAATTAGATAGCTAACATTATAGTGTAATGACTCAACATATAAATCCGCGTCCCTATTCATCAAGCCAATTAGGTGACCCTCCAAGTTTACTTGAGTTTGGGTGTTGTCATACATTCATTCGTCTTAGAAGATGCACACATATTTTTTAGGAAAAAAAAAAAGTGTATCTTGTACACCAGAAAGTATAGTAATAAATAGTATTTATTATTTTTTTTATCTTTATTTATTATTTTATAAACTTTATAAAATGGTAAATAATAAAGATTTCCTTATAGTTGGTTCACATCTTTTAATGATTTAGTAAATGTTTATACATTTATAAAAAAAAAAAAATGTTTTCATATTTATTTCTTTATAAATTGGTAAATGATAAATATTGCATTGCATTAGTAATGCTAATTGTATTAGTTTGTTGTAAATTCTCAAGAACGAAAATATATAAATTCATTTTCATCATATATTTAGGTTTTATTCCAATTCTGATCATCACTTTTTAAAACAATAAACATTGCCGAATAGAGAAGGTAGCTAAAATAAAAATGGTGTCATGGAAAAAAAAAACATCCTTTTCACACTACACCTTATTGCAGCCACATTTATCCATGTCTGTCAAAGTTTTCATGTGATACGTTTTATCTTTTTAAGACTTCATTGGACTAAAGTGATGTTTATGTTACAATTACACATGCACACGAGAGGGCACTGAGAATTTTAAAATAAAAAATTTAAAAAATATATGTTTTGGGTATATAGTCTAGGTGATTTCATTTAGATTCTTTTTATCATTTTGTGTTATAAAATATCGCACATTATGATAACATGATCTGCCAAGAAAAAACGCACTTTCTATACAATTTTGTCTTAGTAAATTGCTTTCTCTTTGAATTAGAGTAGCATTTTTTAAATCAAAATCATGGTTAAACTCTTTACAGTGAACAACTAATGCATTTTGAGTGTTGTTTTGTAAAACACACCTTTTGTGTTCAAATAATTTTTTATCTAAATTCCTTGAGGTTTCTACTTTGTATTGGTTGGGGCAATCATTACAGATGATAAGAGTAAATTCCTCCTTCAAGTTTTAGGTTATTATTTTTGTATTAAGTCTTATTGTTTTAGATGTAGCTGTTGTATTTATATGCAAATCTCCACCATATAAATAACAGTTGATACAGCTGGAGATTAAACTAATCCTCACCTTGAAGATCAATAGTAGTGAATAGAATGTTATAAACTATAATTAGTTAGAAGAATTCATTATTATTTCTCTAGTAGTTTAGTCTTCAAGGCCAGGATTAGTTTAGCCTCCAGCTGTATCAACTGCTATTGATATTTGCATATGAATACAATAGTAACAAATTTTTGTGTTGGGTTGAGATAAATTATATTTAATTGTAGTTGTAATAGAATTGATGGATAGAATAATATATTTTGATTCATTGCATTTTTCTCACAAAGGTCCACTCTGCTATTTTGTAAGCTTTTTGTTCTCTGTTGAATATGAAATAGAGTAGTGAAGAAGCTTAAAGAATTTGTCAAACATATGTATCATACATACATAATTGTATTCGAGGACGGCTGGCCAATCCCTATTGCAGACACTTGCTCAGGAAGATTTGTGTTTGTTCAACACCCACAGAGCCAACCTGTGGTTTATACTACAACTATGCTGAGCAGACCTTAGTTGGGAGAGAGTGTGTTATCTAGCATGATCAACAATCTGAACAAGGCCAGCACACTCAGTCAAGATGACTTGTGACTTTGTGCTAGCACAGCTATCGACGGCCCCCAAGGGTTCTATCTACCCAATTTCACTCACAAGGCTTTGGTCAACCATGGTATGGTTGTTAGGAGGGGGCAATCAAGATGGAAAGTGCCTAATTGATAACATCAGGAAGCCTACATCCTGCCAACTGTGGTGAAATTCAAACCCAGGTCTCATGGTCAGAAAGCAAACATTCTAACCACTCAGCCACACGCCCATATATGTATACATACATATATATATACTCGACTCTCCCGTCGAATTCGATGTATGAGGGTCAAGCAGGTCAGTTCCTAGGAAACCAACAGCATGAGATTTGATTATAGTGGTGAACACTTTTTGAAGGGCCAAATACAGAGACCTGGTGCACTACGTACCACAAGGTCCCCAAACGACCGCAGGTTTTAAATTCAGAGTTGTCCTTCTCCTAGACCAGTTGCCATCCAAGGCTATAGAACCCAGTCTGTATTGCTATTTACTCATAGCTGGAGGGAGAAGAAGAGGATTCACACCTTTCCCAAGGATATTAGCACATAAGTGAATGTAATGGATTCGACTGGGATTTGAACTCTGCTCTCCGATTCCTCAATCCAAGCCGCTATCCATTGCTCCACTGTGCCTCCAAAAGATATGAATGTACGTGAGAGATTCATGGAAGGTTGAAGTTTAAATACAGTAAATTCGACCTTGCTAACCGAACGCTCCTTCGTGGCCAAATCGGTAAAGGCACATCAAGGTAAATGACGGTTCCGTATAGGATACAGGTTATATATATATATATATATATATATATATATATATATATATATATATTGCGTCTAGACATATATAGTGTAATGGCTGTTGACTCACAAAGCGAGTATGACCATCACTGATATGTCAGTCTATTTCTTGTTACATATGTGGCATATCAAATCATTTCTGGGTAGTGGAACTTGACTTTGATCATGATCACTTCCAATGTCTTTTTATATATATAATAATTTTTAATGATATATTTTGATTCGTTGGGTTTGTCATAAAAGCCCACTCTTCTATTTTAAAATATTCTATGAGCTTTTTGTTTTCTGTTGAATATGAAATAATTAGGATATTGGGAAACTTTGTCAGTTTTCCATAAAATTGTTCTTAATAAATAAAAAAAAAAATTTTATAGATATAAATGACAATAAGAAAACTGTAATAGTTACCGAGGCGTTTCGTCCAATGTGGACTTTCTCAAGGCAAAAAACGAAATGAATTTATTAAACAAAGTAACTAATAATAACAAAAACAAAATGTCCTTAGCAACTGGAAGAATTTAGAGAACGATATTTTCATACTATTAACTAAAAATTACGTCAATTACTGTCACATGTGGAGATATTGTTATTATCGCTGTGTTGACGGATTTAACTGGCTCCCCTGATCCATATATGACTTAATATAAAAATATACCAACAACCGGAAATAATCAATGTCCAGTTTGTTGTCACTTGATCTCATATGTTTAAACTCGCACTCTTTAGGTCCTGTCACTGGATCTAACTAACGCCTTTATCCACTGTGCCATGGTCCTAAGGTTACCTACCAGTATTCAACTAAATATTGTGATTTAATTTAGAGGAGGTTAAGGCAGTGAAGAACATGAGAGGGGAATTAACAGGAGATAACTGACATCCATTAGACATGGCACGTGGAACTAGAACAGTCTACTTCAGTGAGTGAAATAAAGGGTTCAGTTCGATATTCCAACCACCTGAAGAAGGCCGGAGCGTACAACGGCCGAAACGCTGTGATAAATATGGCAACAAAGGTGAGAACAATAGTCCGAACAAAGGAAAATCTGTTTTTCATGATCGCAGTATTAAAGTGAACATTATTTTAATGTGTGTATAAATTCGAAAATGTATTGCGTACAGAATAGAATTCCTTTAAATTTCAAACGCCAACTTTTTTAATCGATGTTTCAAATTCCGTTGTTATTTTGTAATTCGCCTTCTGCTGCTGTCAGACAATTCCAAGAAAGGAATTCATCAAATTTTAGTCA